GTGTGTCGTTGAGAGAGATAAAAAGGGGAGTTTGGTGTTAGTATATTAGGTAACCACGCGCAAGAGTAGCACGGCGTGCTTGAATCGAATCATTTCATAGAATGGAAAGTTTGGAGCGGATGTTAATTTTTCACTAAAGATTTCCCCTCTTTCTATCACACACAACATGAAGCACACACGCGGCAGAGGGAGAGGGTAGGGATAGACTACGAAACGAGGATGGATACGGACTACCCTCGCACTCACACACGCCCACGCACCCGCACACACACGCACACACACACACACACACACACACACACACACACACACACACACACACACACACACACAACACGCACTCATTCGCTCACACGCACGCACGCACGCGCGCACGCATGCACGCACTCCCCTCCCCCAACACACACAAGCACACTCACGCGCACGCCCGCGCACACGGGCAGACTGACAGCACTTGTGCATGGTAAAATCTGATCGACATGCATCACTTCGCTCGCAGCATCGCGCCACGATTCCCAGCTATGCTAATGTATGGGCAAATGGTGCTGCGACGTCGGTCGCCGTTGACTGCCAATATAATATTCTTCGGCCGTTATTATACGTTCAAACTGGAGCCGGGCAGGCTGACAGTACGTGTGCATGGTAATATTTCATTCACATGCTTTACTTCGCTCGCAGCATCGCGCCACGATTCCCAGCTATGCTAATGTATGGGCAAATGGTGCTGGGACCTCGGTCTTCCTATTTCTTAAGAGCGGTCTACTGATGGAAAGTTATCATATAAATCTATGCTAGAATACGTCCTCTCTATATTAAATGCATAATTTCCGCAAAATGCATTTTTTTCTCGAGAGATATTGCACATGCGCGAGCGCCGTTTCAGGCGTGCAGTACAGACTGAATACAAATTGCATAATATCGCTTGCTGAGGGAGGGAGAGGTGGGACAATGAGGAAATGCGTCAGGAAAGATAGTAGAGGGGCGGTGGAAGACGAAGGAGGCTGCGCGAGGGACAAGGGAGGTAAGTGGGCGGACGGAACGGGATGAAGTATTAGTTTTGCACCTTACAGGCTAGGGCGCTCTCCTATTTATAAACACAGGTCTACTGATAACAATTTATTACATAAATCTATGCTGAGATACCTCCTAACCATATTAAATGCATATTCATCACAAAATATAACTCCTCTGGTGAGATATTACGCATGTGCCAACACACTAACGCATCCAGATTGTGTACTGACTGGTATGTGTAGCGGGCAGCTTACATGCAAGGTCTTCTTCCTATTTCTTAAGAGAGGTCTACTGATGGAATGTTATTATATAAATCTATGCTATAATACCTTCTCTCTATATTAAATGCATAATTTCCGCAAAATGTTATTTTTCTCGAGCGATATTGCACATGCGCGAGCTCCGTTTCTGGCGTGCAGTACAGACTGAATACAAATTGCATAATATCGCTTGCTGAGGGAGGGAGAGGTGGGACAATGAAGATATGCGGCAGGGAAGATAACTGAGGGGCGGTAGAAAAAGAAGAAGGCTGAGCGAGATACAAGGGGCTATTTCCTGCCACTGCAGCACTCCTCCCAGTAGCTCCTCTTCAGTTTCCGCCACTATTGCAAGATCATCCGCAAATAATAAATGTATTGCAAGCTTCATATATAAGCATACATAAATATACATAAATACGCACGCACGCACAGACAAACACGCACACTTACAGTAACACGCACGCACATACAAACGCGCACACTTACACACGCGCACATACGCATACGTATGTACAATATCGTCACAATTACGTATTTTGTATTATAGTTTTCCCAGCTGTGCCGAGAGGTAGCAGCACCATCTAATAAATACATATTGACAAGAAATATTGGTCTTCCTCTACAGTGAAGGAATGTGTATGCCAGCATCTTCGAACACATGTGTTGGGATGAACATATCTATCAACCATGTACGTATTGATATCGCGTTATAAAGGCACATGATATATTATAGTATTCTGTATTCAACCCCTCTCTGAGTTATGGAACACTATCATTCCTCACATGAGCTCTTGTTATTTGGATCATAGATACACTTGGTCTCTATGATGGCGAACATTTTTATTAGCTGACTCATTGTGTAACAAACTTCGCCGCTTATATAATATTTCCCATCCTGGAAGACCATGCAACGGTATATTTTTATGTTAAGAGTGCGTAATTAGAGTAAAAAAATATAATTAACACTTTTCTCGGATGAGTGACCATGCTCTACCACTGCCAACTGTACGATGGCGACCTCTAGTGTGGGTCAACTTGCGTTCATTCATAAATTCAGCAATCCCGAGCGAGGTGCTAGACCGCTGCATAGCGTGCGTGCAGTGCTGCCGTGTCAGTGAGTGCGTTTCGCACCAAACGCGAATCTGGACTTCTCTGGACATACGATTTTTTCGTCCTCCTCGTGTGTCATTTGAGCGCCGGCATTACATCGGCCCGTACTGTAGGACGGGCGAGGGTTAATTCGTGGTAATTCACTAGTGTAACTGACCATTGTGAATGACACGGTTTCTACATTGCTGGGCGACATTTTTTCTTGTTGACATTTGTGCAGAGGCTTCGGCCATTTTGCAATGAAGATGTCCGAAACGGAAGGACAAGCAGAGCCGGGCCCGTCAGGCACCCAGGCCAAGGAAACACCAGTGAAAAAGGGAAGAGGAAGACCTCGGACAAAACCTGTAGAGGTGATGTTGTTTTTATTTTCAGTAGACCTTTATTTATCACACTAGTGACTAGAGCGAAAATAGCAGTTTAGCTTTTACTTTCGACAGCCTTGGTTTTTAAATGGAAATGCATTTTACGCACACCACCGGTAGTACAAAATTGTTGTACACGTCTATTTTTTAGATATAAAAATACGAGTTCAAAACGTTTCAAAACAGTAACAAGCATAACCTAGCAGTGCCAGCCATAGCACACATATATGGCCCGGGTCGTTGGTGGACAACAGCAGACTAATACTAATAGTAGCTAAGTTGGTGGTGAGCGCAAAATGTATTTGAACCGGCTTTTTTATGCGCGTGATTCGTGTAAACTCACACGTTAGACTGCCTAGGGCTAGAACAGGTATTCGTGTGCACAACTAGGCATTACTTGCATTTACGATTACTGCCTGTAGGTTCCCACACATTTCACACACGTATCATCGCATACTAGTAGTAGAAGCACACACAAAAACTCGCACTGCCATTATTTTATTATTTGTTGTACGTTCCATAGAGACTAGGCCTATATTAAAAGTGACGTTTCCTGTCTACATCAATGTCAAATTTTGACTGACCACAACTAGGTGAAAGTGTCAAAGCACTTATAGCGCATAGTACGTACATCTTGTACACTGTATAAATATATATAATTGTGTCACGGGGTTATTTGTGTTGCCATAGGAACCAACTGGTGAGCCGAAACCCAAAAGACCACGAGGACGACCACTGGGGAGTAAAAATAAAAAAAAAGAAATAAAACAGGTACGGTCACCTACTTTTCAATTTTTTAAATCTGCCGATTCTTTCATGGTGCGCGGGTGCACGCGTAGTTTGCTTTTCAGGTTTGCTTGAGCGCCTATACCTGACTTGTAAAATTATTTCGTTAACCCGCAGCTCGGAATTGTATGATCGCGATGTTCTAGCGACAGAATGGGTCGGTGTAGACAGATTTTGATAGAGGAAGTGTGAGGATTTACTAAAGGGGTTGTAGAATAAAAAGGCTGTCGAGCAAAATTTGATTTTCATTCTAAGAACACGTAACTGATGTTGAAACGAGTTCTACTTTGCATGCATCTGATGCACAATATGCTTACCCCATTGAGAATTTCCTGTGCACCAGTTTGAAGTTGGCATCTAGATACCTATTAATGGGAAAGGAATTTTTATAGTGAGTAATATAGCATTTTAATCTGAGACGTCATAACAACGGCCGAAACAAAAACTCGGTACTACAAACATTCACTGCATTCCTTGGATTAGAAGGTGTTTTTTAAGTGGAGCAGCATGCCACTAGATCAGTCTTAGTGCCATTACTCATTTCACAAAGGTTCAATCGTTATCACAATCGTTTTTTTTCTCCTCGTAAGTTTATACTTTTAAATGCTATTTTAACTGGTTCTGATGGTATGATTAAGTTCTCTATTGTTGAATGTGTTTTGAAGGTTTTTTTCTCGAAACTCCAAGGTCAGTCCAAAGTGCATTATTTTGTCAGAGCTTTAGGTAGGAGTTTCAGAGTTTATCTAGGAACTCAGTTCAGATTCTCCAGAAATTCTTTACTGTCACTCACGTATGATGCAATTTTTTTACTACTTCTCTCTCTCTCACTCTCTCGATCTCTCTATCTCTCGCGCTCTCTCTCTCCCTTTCTCTCTCTCTCTCTCTCTTTCTCCATATTTCTCTCTGTGTTCAGGCCAATCCTAAAGGGCATCAACACAAAACGTAGGGTTACGAAACTCTAAATACGAAGGCTGTTGGAAACGCGCGTGCGTGTGGGCGGGCTATCTTTCCCTTATATCTGCCATGTGCCAGCCGATCTAACGTCACCCAACGTTGCCAGAGAACTGAGGGTCATTGAGTCAGCGTGGGGGTGTGGGATTTGTGTGACAGTGTGTGTGCACCGCCTTGCCTTGCGAATCGGCGGAAATCGCTGCAACCATCAATCGTCGACGTGAGGCGTGGCATTCACGGGCAGAGTGGGTTACGAACGAAAAATTTCCTCGAAATTCGGCCGTAGTTGAATGACGGTTGACCCTCGCGTGACTGCCGTGTGCGTGCATAGTTAGGTGCACAGTCTCAAAGGTAGGCAAAGTCTTGAAAGAGAGAGAGGGGGGAGCGAGAATCGGTGAGAAAGGAGTGGGGGAATGGGCATGGCATAGGGAGATACAGCAGAAGGAGGGGGGAAAGTAAGAGGGGGAAGAAGAGGAAGAGAGAGAGAGAGAGAGAGAGAGAGAGAGAGAGAGAGAGAGAGAGAGAGAGAGAGAGAGAGAGAGAGAGAGAGAGATGAAGGAGGGGGGAAAGTAAGAGGGGGAAGAAGAGAGAGAGAGAGAGAGAGAGAGAGAGAGAGAGAGAGAGCGTGGGAGAGAGAGAGAGAGAGAGAGAGAGAGAGAGAGAGAGAGAGAGTATTTGTGTGTGTATATATGTGTGTGCATGCGTGCGTGTTTGTGTATATATATCCTGATATATATGGATGTGTGTCTGTTTGCTCGTGCGTGCGTGTGCGTGCGTGTGCGCTGTATTTTGTGAATGATGACAGAGTTAAGCGTGCGTGTCAGAAGGCAGGGGTCGTACCTATATATTATGTTGAAAATAGTCATGAATAGAGATCATGAGTGAAGCCGTGATATTCTTCCGAGAAGCCTGCTCCGCGGCGAACGGAATTGGAGTGACACACGCACACACAAACGCACGCACGCACGCGCACACACACACACATATGCACGCACGCACACACGCACCGCTTAGGCGGGCATTCGTCGTTCACGTTATTTCAGTTAGGAGAGGGTAAAGCACCATTACGGCCGCCGCCATCCGCCACTGCTCAAAACGGGAGGGGGGGGGATTGGGATTTGCCATCGCGAGTTCGAAAATCAACCATCGTAAAACTCATTTCTGGGAAATTGCGGGCGACAAAAGAACTTTCGCATGTATTTATGACATGCTTTGGCGTAAATGTGCAAAATTCGCTCCCTATTTAATTTTGGATTTTTTTTATATGGACTGGCGCCTTATTTTATGCCTTTACTGTAACGAATGCCATGTGGGGGTGGGGGCGGTGTACATGTATGCGGCGCTGTGCTATCACAGGCATGCATGTATGTCAAGAGTAGATAATAGGAGATCTGCTATTAACTACTCTTGATGTATGTGTTTATACACGCGTGCGAGAAAACAGAAAGGGGTTGATGGTTCAACCCAAATTTTGATGGTTCCCTAAAACATCCAAATGTACGTACATATTTGTTTGCGTAGGACTTAAGATAAAGGAATAATCACAAGTTTATACAATTTTTTGGTCAGTCTTACTGCATTGACATGGTGTAGCCACCTATTATTGTGTGGTTTATTTCTCCTACAATATAAGTAGCTAATTATTGCGTACGAATATGTTTGCTTGTATTATTGAATTATTGCGTATACATGATGTTTATTTCAAGCAATCATATACGGTGATTTTTAACGAACGCATGCATCAGAGCTTTCTTGTCATGATAATTTACTAATTCATGGATATTTTTAGCTGTAAAGTGTTGAATGCCAGTTAGAAATGTTTTCACTGAGAATTACCCAATTATAAATATTTCACTTTTTGGGAAAACATACATATATTAACTGGAAACTGACCCCAAATATAGCACAAACACGCAAGCACAGTGACAGGCGCACGCACACCCTTAGCTCTGGATACATATACACCAAGAGTAGATATTAGGAGATTATTATTAATCTCCTATTATCTACTCTTGATATACACCGATCAAAAATACATTCTATGCACGCACATGCTTGTGTATACATTTAACCAAAGGCAAACTGAGTTCATCTCGAGGGGTACAGAGATTTTTCAGCGCTGTAGGGTGGGTAGGGAGTTTTTTGCTGGTAGGGGATTAGTGTTGTTTCACTGTTCAGTACAAACTCCACAGGTTGCTGCTCTGTGATATATATATATATATATATATATTATAGGGCGCGAAATTAGCACCGGCCCACCGGCATATGCCGGCAAATTATTTGGAGGGCCGGTAACATTGGCAAAACACCGGTGGTTTCAGCTGTGTTAGTGAGTACTAAGTACCTACATTTTCATTTATAGCATTAATGAGCAAATAGCCTACATTACTGTTTTACCTGAAGGATATCACGCCATGATTTTTCTACATTTTACAAATTTGAAATCGACAAAGCAAACGTGAAACGACATTGATTTTCTAACAAAATTTGTGAGGGCTGGTAAATTATGGTGAGGGCTGGTAAAAAATTGCCCTCTGGGCCGGTGCAAAAATCTGAATTTGTGCCCTGAATATATATATATATATATATATATATATATGTATCTTTAGAGTCTGTATATATAGTATATTATTACTGTAGAGTAATTTTGTATAGTGTTATTGACCCATACATACACACAAGCACGCACGCACGTACGCTTGCATGTCGCCCGCACGCACGCACGCACGCACGCATGTACTCACTCGTAGTAGCACACGCGTATACGCGAACTCACACAGGCCATCTACGTGCGGGCTTGAATACAGATTTCTACGGTTTCTGGTAACACCGAATTCCTTGCCGTTATGAATGTGAGATTTCCTCTCGCCGGACATCGAATGGCAGTTTTCGACACTGTGCGACAACCCATCCGTGTTTACGTGTATTGTTCCCCTATTTCCAAACGACGCGCCATTCAACCGGCGTCTGTATTATGTCTATGTATCTACTATGTATACGGTGAGTGATAAACCGTCGCCAGCGGGCCACCTTTTGTGCACTTCGTCGTGTGTTTGTGGTCTGGGAGCGCGCACGACACCGTCGCATGTGTGTGTTGCGCTTGTGCACAACCACAAGTGTCCTCCCTACATATCCCCTACAGGACTCCTACCCTCTCCTCTCTCTGCCCTCCTCTCTCTCACGGCATCCCGCCCGTGGTGGGTCGCCTTTTCCCCCTCTACCCTCCCCTTTCACGGCATTGTGTCCACACACCCGTAAGTACGCACGCGCACGCACGCACGAACGCACGCACATACACACACACACACGCCGCGCGCGCGCACGCAACACACACACACACCACACACACACACTCACACACATACCACCACACACACACACACACACACACACACACACACACACACACACGCACACCACACGCACCGCACACGCACACGACACACGCACACGCACACGCACACGCACACGCACACGCACACGCAACGCAACCAACACAACACATACACACACACACACACACACACCACAGCAGCGCACACACCGCACGCACGACACACACACACACCATCACACACACACACACACACACACACACACACACCACACACACACACAACCACACACCTCGCATCTCTTCATACCTTAGTAGTTAATAGGGGGCGCAATGTGTAACACAGACGAACGTCGCGGCAGCGGCAGCCGCGCAGCGCCGACAACAACGCCTCGTCGGTCGTCGTGAAAGCAAATGGTATTTCTAGGTGGCGGCGCGGCCGCGCGCAGTGACAATGCGCGTGCACGGCTGACGACAGTGACATTCAACTCCCCCGCGTCTCCTGCCATGTACCTGGTATAACTAGGCTGCCTCACCTGTCGCTGGTCGTCGTAGCGCTAGAAATGGCAGGCCGTGGCCACGCAAAGGCACCACTCGTTCTCTTACTCCACGGGTTAGTGTACGAGAGCACGTAAATTGCGTATAATATACGCAATTTATTAATATATATATATATATATATTATTATACTATTTAGTAT